TCACCCCCCAAATCCAACCTCCCAACACAAATCTTGGCCCCCCATCCCCCAAATCCAACCTCCCAACACAAATCTTGGCCTCCCCATCCCCCAAATCCAACCCCCCCCAACACAAATCTTGGCCTCCCCATGCCCCCCCCCCCCCCGGGACAAATCTTGGCCTCCCCATGCCCCAAATCCCCCCTCCCCCCCCCACAAATCTTGGCCTCCCCCATGCCCCAAATCCCCCCTCCCGGGACAAATCCCCTCCCCATGCCCCAAATCCCCCCCCCGGCACAAATCTTGGCCTCCCCATGCCCCAAACCCCCCCCCTCCCGGCACAAATCTTGGCCCCCCCCCCCCCCAAAATCCCCCCTCCGGCACAAATCTTGGCCTACCTGCCCCATGCCCCAAATCCCCCCTCCCGGACAAATCTTGGCCCCCCCATTCCCCCCCCCCCTCCAGGCACAAATCTTTGCCTCCCCCCATCCCCCCCCCCTGCACAAATCTTGCCTCCCCCTCCCCCCCCCAAATCCAACCTCCCAACACAAATCTTGGCCTCCCCCCCCCCCCCAAATCCAACCTCCCAACACAAATCTTGGCCTCCCCCCCCCCCCCCAAATCCCCCCTCCCGGGACAAATATTGGCCCTCCCCATGCCCCAAATCCCCCCTCCCGGACAAATCTTGGCCCCCCCCCCCCAAATCCCCCTTCCAGGCACAAATCTTTGCCTCCCCCATCCCCCCTCCCTGCACAAATCTTGGCCTCCCCATCCCCCAAATCCCCCCTCCTTGCACAAATCTTGACCTCCCCCCACCCCCCAAAATCCCCCTCCCCCGGCACAAATCTTGGCCTCTCCACCCCCCAAATCCCCCCCTCCCCGGCACAAATATTGGCCTCCCCACCCCCCAAATCCCCCCTACCGGCACAAATCTTGGCCTCCCCATCCCCCAAATCCCCCCTCCCAGTACAAATCTTTGCCTCTCCATTCCCCCTCTGGGCACAAATCTTTGCCTACCCATCCCCCCTCCCTGCACAAATCTTGGCCTCCCCATCCCCCAAATCCCCCCTCCCGGCACAAATGTTGGCCTCCCCTTCCCCCAAATCCCCCCTCCCGGCACAAATCTATACCTCCCCATCCCCCAAATCCCCCCCTCCTTGCACAAATCTTGACCTCCCCACCCCCCAAAATCCCCCTCCTGGCACAAATCTTGGCCCTCTCCCCCCCCCCAAATCCCCCCTCCCGGCCACAAATATTGGCCTCCCCACCCCCCAAATCCCCCCTACCGGCACAAATCTTGGCCTCCCCATCCCCCAAATCCAACCTCCCAACACAAATCTTGGCCCCCCCCCATGCCCCAAATCCCCCCCTCCCGGGACAAATCTTGGCCTCCCCCCCCCAATCCCCCCCTCCCGGGACAAATCTTGGCCCTCCCCCCCCCAAATCCCCCCCCCCCGGGACAAATCTTGGCCTCCCCATTCCCCAAATCCCCCTTCCAGGCACAAATCTTTGCCTCCCCATCCCCCCTCCCTGCACAAATCTTGGCCTCCCCCCCATCCCCCAAATCCCCCCCCACCCCCGGCACAAATCTTGGCCTCCCCTTCCCCCAAATCCCCCCCCCCCCGGCACAAATCTATACCTCCCCATCCCCTAAAATCCCCCTCCCAGCACCCCCCTCCTCCTGCCCCCCCCCCATGTCCTGCCCAGTATGGTCATCATTTTAGCTCCCTCCCCTCCCTGGTTTGCACTAGTTCCCGATGTAACAGACGAGGATTCCTGTGTATGGAGGCGGCGCGGTGCAATGTGTGCGTCGTGATCAGCGCAATCAGCAAATCTTCACCTGAAATAAATGTTTATTGCCCACCGGCTGCACACTGAGCCTGTCAGTGACCCCAGGGAAGGGGCCGGGCGAGGTGCCTGTGGGGTCCCGTAGGCCCCCCCCTCAATGCTACGTATGGATCGGGGGGGTCAATGAGCCTCCACGCCCTGGAGCCGTGCCGGTGGGTGTGTCTGTAGGGGACCCCGGGGCCGGTGACACTCCGCTGGTTAATGTGTCACCAATGTGATCTCTTATCTGGGTGTCCTACAGAAAACTAGAATGAACTTTCTTCACCGGGAGAGTCACGACACACCACGGGGCCCCACAGCAATGTGCATACCCCCCCCCACACACCACAGGGCCCCACAGAAATGTGCATACCCCTCCCCACACACCTCGGGGCCCCACAGCAATGTACATACCCCTCCCCCACACACCACAGGGCCCCACAGAAATGTGCATACCCCTCCCCACACACCACGGGGCCCCACAGCAATGTGCATACCCCTCCCCCCACACACCAGGGGGCCCCACAGCAATGTACATACCCCTCCCCCACACAGCAATGTGCATACCCCTCCCCCACACACCACGGGGCCCCACAGCAATGTACATACCCCTCCCCCACACAGCAATGTGCATACCCCTCCCCCCACACACCATGGGGCCCCCCACAGCAATGTACATACCCCTCCCCCACACAACCCGGGGCCCCACAGCAATGTACATACCCCTCCCCCACACACCACGGGGCCCCACAGCAATGTACATACCCCCCCCCACACACCACGGGGCCACACAGCAATGTACATACCCCTCCCCCACACACCACGGGGCCCCACAGCAATGTACATATCCCTCCCCCACACACCACGGGGCCCCACAGAAATGTGCATACCCCTCCCCACACACACCTCGGGGCCCCACAGCAATGTACATACCCCCCTCCCCCACACACCACGGGGCCCCACAGCAATGTACATACCCCTCCCCCACACAGCAATGTGCATACCCCTCCCCCACACACCACGAGGTCCCACAGCAATGTACATGCCCAGGCCCCACAGCAGTGTGCATACCCCTCCCCCACACACCATGGGGCCACAAAGAAATGTGCATACCCCTCCCCCACAGACCATGGGCCCCCCCAGCAATGTATATGCCACTCCCCCATACACCATGGGGCCTCCCAGAAATGTATATGCCCCTCCACCACAGACCATGGGGCCCCACAGCAATGCACATACCCCTCCCCCACAGACCATTCGGCCCCAAAGCAAAATGTACATACCCCTCCCCCACACGCCATGGGGCCCTACAGCAAAATGTACATACCCCTCCCCCACACGCCATGGGGCCCTACAGCAAAATGTACATACCCCTCCCCCACAGACCCCCAAGTGACCAAAATACAATGTAGGAGAAGTGTCACCGTGGTCCTTGTCAGGGAGGAGGAATCAGTGCGGGGGAGGAAGGAATCACTGCAAGGGAGGAGGGAATCAGTGCGGGGGAGGAGGGAATCAGTGCAAGGGAGGAGGGAATCAGTGCGGGGGAGGAGGGAATCAGTGCAAGGGAGGAGGGAATCAGTGCGGGGGAGGAGAGAATCAGTGCAGGGGGGGGGAATCAGTGTGGGGGAGGAGGGAATCAGTGCTGGGGAGGAGGGAATCAGGTGTGTGGGGGAGGAGGGAATCAGTGCGGGGGAGGAGGGAATCAGTGTGGGGGGGGAGGGAATCAGTGCGGGGGAGGAGGGAATCAGGTGTGGGGGAGGAGGGAATCAGTGCGGGGGGGGGAATCAGTGTGGGGGAGGAGGGAATCAGTGCGGGGGAGGAGGGAATCAGTGTGGGGGAGGAGGGAATCAGTGCTGGGGAGGAAGGAATCAGTGCCGGGGGGGGGGTGCGGGGGAGGGAATCAGTGCGGGGGAGGAGGGAGAATCAGTGCTGGGGAGGAGGGAATCAGTGCGGGGGAGGAGGGAATCAGTGCGGGGGGGAGGGAATCAGTGCGGGGCGGGAGGGAATCAGTGCGGGGGGGGAGGGAATCAGTGCGGGGGAGGAGGGAATCAGTGCGGGGGAGGAGGGAATCAGTGCGGGGGGAGGGAATCAGGTGTGGGGGAGGAGGGAATCAGTGCGGGGGAGGAGGGAATCAGTGTGGGGGGGAGGGAATCAGTGTGGGGGAGGAGGGAATCAGTGCTGGGGAGGAAGGAATCAGTGCCGGGGGGGAGGGAATCAGTGCGGGGGAGGAGAGAATCAGTGCTGGGGAGGAGGGAATCAGTGCGGGGGGGAGGGAATCAGTGCGGGGGGGAGGGAATCAGTGCGGGGGGGGAGGGAATCAGTGCGGGGGAGGAGGGAATCAGTGCGGGGGAGGAGGGAATCAGTGCCGGGGAGGAGGGAATCAGTGCGGGGGAGGAGGGAATCAGTGCCGGGGAGGAGGGAATCAGTGCCGGGGAGGAGGGAATCAGTGCGGGGGAGGAGGGAATCAGTGCCGGGGATTCGCTTTTACTACAAAGAGCTGCTATTGTCTAAGAGGGCATACAGGGTGAGTTTCAGTGCTGGCTGGGATGACCAGAACCTCTGAGGACAATACATCTACACTGGGGGTCTCCCAACCTTCAAAACAAGGGGCCAGTGTACTGTCCTTCATATGCTAGGGGGGCCGGACTGTGGCCAGCATGAGTGGAAAGTGTCCTGGTGTCAGTGGGAGTAAGCAATGGCATCTCATGGTGTCAGTGGGAGGAATAGTGCCCATCATTGGTGTCAGTGGGAGGAATAGTGCCCCGTCATTGGTGTCAGTGGGAGGAATAGTGTCCCATCATTGGTGTCAGTGGGAGGAATAGTGCCCCGTCATTGGTGTCAGTGGGAGGAATAGTGTCCCATCATTGGTGTCAGTGGGAGGAGTAGTGCCCCGTCATTGGTGTCAGTGGGAGGAATAGTGCCCCGTCATTGGTGTCAGGGGGAGGAATAGTGTCCCATCATTGGTGTCAGTGGGAGGAATAGTGCCCCGTCATTGGTGTCAGGGGGAGGAATAGTGCCCCATCATTGGTGTCAGTGGGAGGAATAGTGCCCAATCATTGGTGTCAGTGGGAGGAATAGTGCCCCATCATTGGTGTCAGTGGGGGAGGAATAGTGCCCCATCATTGGTGTCAGTGAGAGGAATAGTGCCCCATCATTGGTGTCAGTGGGAGGAATAGTGCCCCATCATTGGTGTCAGCGGGAGGAATAGTGCCCCATCATTGGTGTCAGTGGGAGGAATAGTGTCCCATCATTGGTGTCAGTGGGAGGAAGAGTGCCCCATCATTGGTGTCAGTGGGAGGAATAGTGCCCCATCATTGGTGTCAGTGGGAGGAATAGTGCCCCATCATTGGTGTCAGTGGGAATAGTGCCCCTGATGTATGGGGGCACTGTAATAGGGACACCTGAGGTACGGGACACTGTAATAGGGACACCTGATGTATGGGGACACTGTGATGGGGACACCTGATGTATGGGGACACTGTAATAGGGACACCTGATGTATGGGACACTGTGATGGGGACACCTGATGTACGGGACACTGTGATGGGGACACCTGATGTACGGGACACTGTGATGGGGACACCTGATGTATGGGGACACTGTGATGGGGACACCTGATGTATGGGGGCACTGTAATAGGGACACCTGATGTACGGGACACTGTGATGGTGACATCTGATGTATGGGACACTGTGATGGGGACACCTGATGTACGGGACACTGTGATGGGGACACCTGATGTATGGGGGCACTGTAATAGGGACACCTGATGTACGGGACACTGTGATGGTGACATCTGATGTATGGGACACTGTGATGGGGACACCTGATGTACGGGACACTGTGATGGGGACACCTGATGTATGGGGACACTGTGATAGGGACACCTGAGGTATGGGACACTGTGATGGGGACACCTGATGTATGGGGACACTGTAATAGGGACACCTGATGTACGGGACACTATGATGGTGACACCTGATGTACGGGACACTGTGATGGGGACACCTGATGTACGGGACACTGTGATGGGGACACCTGATGTATGGGGACACTGTAATAGGGACACCTGATGTACGGGACACTGTGATGGGGACACCTGATGTACGGGACACTGTGATGGGGACACCTGATGTATGGGGACACTGTGATGGGGACACCTGATGTACAGGACACTGTAATAGGGACACCTGATGTACGGGACACTGTGATGGGGACACCTGATGTATGGGGACACTGTGATGGGGACACCTGATGTACGGGACACTGTGATGGGGACACCTGATACGGGACACTGTGATGGGGACACTGATGTATGACACTGTGATGGGGACACCTGATGTATGGGGACACTGTAATAGGGACACCTGATGTACAGGACACTGTAATAGGGACACCTGATGTACGGGACACTGTGATGGGGACACCTGATGTATGGGGACGCTTTAATGGGGACACTGGCTGTAGGTTGGCAGGGGGCTCATGATGCTATTGAGATGGCACTGACCCAAGGAGCACCTGTCTGTTCACTGAGAGCAATGGAAGAAAATGTCTGTATGGCTGCCAGTTCTCAGATCTAGAACCCAAAGACCATCTGGAAGGATTCTAGACTTCTGTGTTTTATTCCGTGGTTCTGTGTTGGGATGGTATTGGGCAGGTGATGGGCGGTGCCTGGTTTCTTCCAGACATAACGTTTAGAACTAAGGCTAGACAGTTCAATTTTGGTTTCGTTAGACCAGAGAATCTTCTTCCTCACAGTCTGAGAGACCTTCAGGTGCTTTTTATGCAAACTCCAAGCAGGCTTTCATGTGTTTTGCACTGAGGAGAGGCTTCCATCTAGCCACTCTGTCATAGATTGGTGGAGGGCTGCAGTGATGGTCGTCCTTCTGGAACTTTGTTCCATCTCCACACAGGATCTCTGGAGCTTAGAGTGACCATTGGGTTCTTGGTCACCTTTCTTACTTAGGTCTTTCTCCCCCGATCGCTCAGTTTGGCTGGGCAACCAGCTCTTGGAAGAGTCCTGGTTATGCCAAATTTCTTTCATTTGAGAATTATGAGGCCACTATACTCTTGGGAACCTTCAGCGCAGCAGACTTCTTTTTGTAGCCTTCCCCAGTCCTGTGCTTTGCAATAATCCTGTCTCTGAGCTCTACAGGCAGTGCCTTTGACTTCATGGCTTTTGCTCTGATACAGTATGCATTGTCAGCTGTCAGTTCTTTTCTAGAGAGGTGCACGCCTTTCCAAATCATGTCCAATCAGTTTAATTTACCACAAGTGGACTCCACTGTTGGCCTTGTTGCCCCAGCATGGGCTGAAACTTAAACCCAAAAAGTACCACCTACCCAAGCCTCAGATTGGTTCCTGGGACCTGTCATCTCCAAGTGAAATCAAGTGAAGCTTAGTGAAATCAAGGACATCCAAGAGTGAAAGCCCCTGGCGACCATGGATAAAGCCCCTGGCGACCATGGATAAAGCCCCTGGCGACCATGGATAAAGCCCCTGGTGACCATGGATAAAGCCAGAGCCTTTCTAGGGCTAGCTAGCAGGATATCATTGATGTTCATCAAGCACAGTGCACACTACTCTGCCCTAATCCAAATCTTCTACACATAGTAGGCCAGAAGGGGGGGGCCACACAAACGTGGATTGTGGATCCTAACAAAAGGAAGCATTTGGGTTCTTGAAGCAGCAGCTGATGTTGGTCCCTGTACTGGCCTCTGCTGACTTCTCTCTCTTGTTCAAGTTTAGAAACAGACCCAGAACCAAAGGGCCTGCAGGCCATGCTTTCACAAGTAGAAGATGGTCAAAACCCGGTCATTGCCTACCCCAGTCACAGCCTACATGCAGCCGAAAGAAATCCTGTGAACAACAGCCCTTTTAAACTGGAGCTGTTGGTGCTGGTGCCAGTAGTCACCAAATGTTTTGCGGAGTACCTGAAGGCCAAGTTCGATGTCGGTTGGTACATCTCCAAACAGACATTCTAGAACAATGTTGGGCAGCCTACCTGGTAAACTATGAATTCTACCATTATCCTCCATTACCCTGGAAAGAACAACCAGGAGGCAGACACCCTGTCCTAGACCCCCTAAACCAGAACCATGGAGATATGGATGAAGAAGCCAAAAAGGAAGAAATCCTAGACTTTACTGGAGGAAGTCCTAAGAGCAGACTTCAGGTGAACCTCCTCAATGTACTAGAAGAGTATACCTGGGAAGGGACCCAGAGAGAAGACCCAGTGCTTGCCTCCCCAATCCAGGCAGCACAGTTATGACAGTGGCCCAGTTCCAGAGAGATCAAAACTGGAACAAAGAGATTGCTGAGGGACTGGCCCAGCCTCGTCTTGAGAGCTGGCTTACTGTACTGCATATGATGTTAGCTCATGACCCTTGCTGGTCATGTTGTCAAGGGTTCAAGTCCTATCCATGGCTGAGTGAATGCACTTGGAAGCAGAACGTTGGAGTGTCCACATGACATTCTCCTGGTTCAAGTGATAAGCCATGTGCGAGGTTCTGTTCCAGTTGACCAAACAAGTTTGCCAACACTGTGTGGTTGTTCAGTGTCAAAAGAGACCAAAGTCAGGGTGCCACCCCTGACCTGGCACCCATTGACCCCTTGGACGTACTGATTGCCCACTGCATTACTCTTTGGAAGACATCATCGGAAGACAGGTATCATCATGTGGGCTACTTTACATAATTTGCAGTAACAGTGCTTGTGATTAGACTGCTGCCAAAATGGTGTGGAAGAAATTATGCCTCCACTCAGGCTGTCCACAGAGGACACACTAGGATCAGGGACCCTGCTTTGAGAGCAAATTCTTTCAGGAATGGTGTCACTCTCTAGGCATCAAGGGGACACATACTACCCCATAGCATCTGCAACTGGCAACAGAACACATGAGAGGCTCAACTGTAACCTGAAGAGATGGTCCCACTAGTTGGCTGAAGTGGTCTGGCAATACGATCACACAGTGCATTTGGTGGCAGGTCACTCACCCGATCACATCATGGTCAACCATACTCTCAGGGGGACCACTGACCTTTGGGGTACCATCTTCACTGAAGAACCGGAGCACACTACAATGTCCTGGTTTTGGGAGTGGAAGCATTGTCTGTCGGAAGTTCAAGTCGTGGGCGGAACAAGAGTTGGTGTCATCAGATTTTCACCTGCGACCAGAAACCAGGGTTCTAGTTCAGCGCAAAGGAGCACAGTAGCAATGCAGGTTAAGGACACCAGGGAGGAAGTCCCAGGTGTCTCACAGCAACCTATTCTTGGTGTACCTGTGTATGACATCCACATGGAGGATAACTGAGACAAGACAAGTCTCCTACACTCTAGGCTCCTAAAACGTGAAAATTATAGGGAGGCTGATGAGAGATGTTGTGGAGAACCTATCCAAGTTCGTGAGCCACAGGTGCCTTGGCCATCAGAGGTCCAATGGCAGTTAACCCCTGCTCTTTCACATGTACCCTCCAAGACCTCAGCAGAAGTTATTGACCCCAACAATACCACTCAGCCTCAGGTAGTGTAAAGATGGGCCACCACACATGCCTGTAGGGGTACTGGCCCAAGTGCAATTCATGAAAAAAGTACCTAGAATATGCAGCAGGAAGTAGATGCATTCAACGGGACTTGCAGCAGGAAGGACTTTCCAATGCAGTTTAATCGATGTCAATGTTTTTGCGGGACAAAGCCCACCTTTCATGGGACAGGCTCTGCCTTGCTGAAACGATGACATTGATTAAACTACGTTGGAAAATGCCTCCTGTTGTAAGTCTATGTACTTTTTACATGGATTGCGTCCTGGCCAATACCTCTACAAGCATGTGTGGTGGACCATTTCTACACTTCCCAAGGCTGAGTGGTATTTCCAGGGTCAATAACTTCTCCTGAGGGTCTTAGAGGGTACATGTGGAAGAACAGGGGTTAGCTGTCATTGGATATTCTACTGTATGTACTTTTTTCATGGATTGCATCCGGGCCAATACTCCTACAAGCATGTGTGGTGGACCATCTCTACACTTCCCAAGGCTGAGTGGTATTTCCAGGGTCAATAACTTCTCCTGAGGGTCTTAGAGGGAACATGTGGAAGAACAGGGGTTAGCTATCATTGGATATTCTACTGTATGTACTTTTTTTCATGGATTGCATCCGGGCCAATACCCTACAAGCATGTGTGGTGGACCATCTCTACACTTCCCAAGGCTGAGTGGTATTTCCAGGGTCAATAACTTCTCCTGAGGGTCTTAGAGGGAACATGTGGAAGAACAGGGGTTAGCTGTCATTGGATATTCTACTGTATGTACTTTTTTCATGGATTGCATCCGGGCCAATACTCCTACAAGCATGTGTGGTGGACCATCTCTACACTTCCCAAGGCTGAGTGGTATTTCCAGGGTCAATAACTTCTCCTGAGGGTCTTAGAGGGTACATGTGGAAGAACAGAGGTTAGCTGCCATTGGATAGTCTGTGTACTTTTTTCATGGATTGCATCCGGGCCAATACCCCTACAAGCATGTGTGGTGGACCATCTCTACACTACCCATGGC